GGGAGCAGGTACAAGGCCAGGACCTTCTTATCTGAGATGTCAGCTTTTATCCCTTGATAGATGTGGGTATTGAAAACAGTTCTATTGATCAAACAAACAAAGTTTAGAATCAACTGATCTCTTCCAATCCCTTATTTTACAAATTAAAAACACAAGAAATAAAACCCGGAGGTCCAGGTGGTGTAGGAACTTCTCCAAGACCACACAGTTTAATGGCAGAGCTAAGGCCAAAACCCAGGTCTTCCAGTGTCTTGCTGGCAGGACTTTATTGATTAAACTCATTTGAAATGTAATAGGTAATGCCCCAGCACATAGAAAACCCTCAGCAAATGTTATTATTGTCGGTGTCGTTATTAATTTGTATTTGCATTCATTTGTTGTTATTTATTTGTATTTGAGACTGGTGGCCCCCAAAGAGAGTCCAAAGGGAACAGAAGGGAGTGACCTGAGGAAAGCCAGCTGGCCATCCAGATAAGTCTGCACAGAGTGATATTTTTCTTAGCAAATTCAGCACTGATCAGGCTCCAGCTCTCCACAGTACAGGCTCAAAACTCCAGTTCATCAATGTCCCAGAGTTGATCAGGATCTGGGATGCAGCCTGATTTTATTAGAGCCTCATCAATTGATATGTAAAATTAGCCGTTCATCCTACAAATATTTATGCAGCTCCAATTAAGTGCCAAGCACTGTTCCAGATGTAGATGCAGCAGTGAACAGAAACACATCGAGTTTCCATTACAGTTAGAGCGGGGCTTAGGGGGAGAGAACAATATACACCAAATAAACAAATATGTAACAGCAAGTAATCAAGTGCTGTGAGAGAAGACAGAGCAGGAAGAAGGAATAGAGAGAAATGGAGGAATGAAGTCCACTTCCTCGAGGGCATTCAGATCAAATTCTCCAGTCACAGGTGCATTGCCCTGATGGCTCCTCTTGGCACACAGTCAGTATGCGGAGTTATCAGTGGAAGGCTGCTGGCAGAGCACAGTGTTAGAGGACAGATGATCTATGATTCAACCACATGGTTCAAGGGACCATGCTTATATAAAGTGCTAATATTCGTGGAAGCTGGGTGAAGGGTATACAGAAACTCTGTAATTCTATAAATCTAAAATTATCTCAAAATAAAACGTTTAAAAATTTTTTTAATTAAAAAATAAATTTTAAAAAAATTAATTGGTGACAACCCGCATAGTACACACTTCCTGCCAGGCTGCCAAGATACCATGGTATGGCTGACAGAGTCCCCAGGCAGAACTCAGATGGCGCTGTCAGAATTTACTTCTGTGACTCTACTTGCAATGAGTCCACATCACTCCATCTTGTTTTTCTAATAAGGTAGTTACATTTGTTTGGTCATTTGTTTCTTTGGGGATAATTTGCAGATTTCATCTCAGATCCACTAAGTATTGACTTCATACTTTGAGACTCAGAAGGAAATTTAATTTTTTTCTTTTCCACAACTAACTAATCCCCTGCCATCACATACACATACACACGCACAATATTTTTCTTGATCACAGCTGCAGCTATTCCATCATAAGATACTAAATGTTCTCACTGGGGAAGACTCTTCTTCCTGTCAAGTTCCCCAATGAGGTTATTACTTATAAAGTTTTTGTGACATACATGATGTCACTTTGTTCTCTGGGTAAAATCTTTCTTCCTAGGGGGCGAGGAGCTGTCTGGAGTCCTGACCTCAGAGCATTGAAGGTGACTTGTAGTTTCAGCCATGGGATGGTGGGACAGGATCTCCTGGAACTGAGAGGTGTTCCCTCTCTGAGAAGAGAGGAGCCTGGTGACAGATCACCAACAATAGAGACATTTTCTCCCAATCTATGGAAATGGCTAAGGAGTGGGGAAGTCCTTGGGGGATCCTGCAGTATACTAGAAGAGGAAATGGAGGGACAGAAGAGGAAGTCGAAGATCTAGGAGTAGCTACCACAACCACTCTGTGGGCAGGAGGAGAAAGGGTGGAAAGGAGAACTTCCCTAGGATTAACCATTCCTGGCACAAGGGTTAGGCAGTTTGACTGGCTGTGAATCACTGCATTGGGAGGGGCTGGATGAGGGGCAAGGGGTATAGTTCCTAACTGGGTACTTTTCACAAGCTCACCTGATGAGATGTTAGTTAAAGGTTCTGCAGTTGAGTCTTTCCATTAGAACAATGGTTTCTGAATTTTCAAGAATATCCACACAGCCCTTTCCTCAAAGGAAATATTATAGGAAACCCAATATGTGAAACGGATAAAAATGGACTTTTCTGGAAGAAGCTAGAGGGTTCAGTCCCTCTCAGCTTAAACTCCATGATGAATCCTTGGAGCCCTAAGGGTTCTGTGGAGCTCCCCTCCTCAGGGGTTGCAGATGGCAAAGAATTGAGCCAGTAGAAGCAGGTAGAATTTCAGGACTTCTACTCCCATTTCCAACAGAAAGGCTGGAATTTCTTCTATTTACATATTGGGCCTATAAAAAGATTTCCTGTGGGAAAAACTTCCCTTAAAAAAACCTGTCCCCTACTCTGCTCAAAAATCCTTTAAAACTGTTTATTACTGATTTTTTTTACCCTTAAAAACACAAGAGAATACTACTATATGCTCCAATAAATAACTAAGGCTTGATCTGGCAACAGTCCCCAAAGCTGGGGTGGGAAGTTTGCCCCCACTGGGAATCATTAGCCCCAGTTAAGCCAGACACTCAGAGAGCTGAAACCCAGGCCACATCATAAGGACTGTGCAGATTTGCCTTACCAAAGTCCTTTGCTGTGATGCCTAGATCCCATGTGGGAGTTACAAAGTAGAAATATTCAATGGGGCTTTGGAAAAGATGTAGCTAAAGAAACTGTTCCCAAGCATCACACAGTGACCTCTTGAGAAAAAATGCCTCCCAGTGGCTGTTTCCCTGAGCAGTCCTATGATGCCATCACAGACCTCACTGCCCTCAGAGTTGCTGCTGTCAAACAGAGAGCAGCATGTGTAGTCCTCCCATAGCCAGGACAGAACGCTAAACATGTATTTTGGATACTGACCTTGTTCCCTGCTCCAGCTTATCTTCCTATCCTGTCTTCTTCAGATCTCATTTTCCTAACTGATTAGTGTCTCATCCTGCCACATTGTATGCATTCGGTAAGACACCTGGAAGAGTTTGGCCACCCTTACAGTTAGAAAGAATACAGTCTCCACAAGACCACCCTCACTACTGACACCAATTCCAAGTTCCAGGTGTTCCCCAAACCACCCTTAGTTTCAATAACTTGGTAGAAGGACTCACAGAACACACTGAAAGTTTTCATATTTACAGCTATGGTTTATCACAGGGAAAGGATACAGATTAAAATGAGCTACAGGGAGAGTGAATCAGCCCAGGAAAAGTACAAACACATCCTCTCCCTGTGGAATCCTAGGTCAGTGTTACATTCCTGGCATCAATGTGTGAAAATACATACAGAAAAGCTCACCCAAGCTTTGGCCCAGTTTTTATTGGCGTTTGATTACATATAGCCTGCACGAATGACCTTTAGTCTCCAGCCCTTCCAAAGGTTGGGCTGATAATTTTAGTCTTCAGTCCTTCTGGAGGCAGAAAAGATACTGTATGGCCCAAAGTCCTTATCATAAATCACATTGTTAGACTTGTGGCCAAGCTTCCAAAGCAAAGACACTCCTATCAGACGTGATATTCCAAAGTCCTGGGGATCACCTCCCAGAAGCCAAAGGCCAGACCTCTCTTTGGGTAAAGTTAATTTTTCACTACACAATATGTTAAATTTATCTTTCTAACAAGATGAGAAGAAGGAAAGAAGGAATGAACCAATCAGTCTAATTGAATCAGTCCAGACTGACCAGGCTCCTGACTATTGCTCCTCATTGATGATAATGCCACAGGGGGAGAAATCAGGTGCGGGGACTCCACCACTGAGCCCCCTGTGAGTTGGCTGTGCTGCTCATGGTCCCTGAGTTGGAAGAGAAGACCTGAGCAAGGGGAAGAGAGACATCTCGTGTGCCTCTGAGATCAGGGAAGGCATGGAGATGCTGCCGAGGTTGAGACAGATTTGGACTCATTCCACCTTCTCCTATTATTAGGTAAGGGATTCCTAGGCTGAGCAGATTAAGATGGTCATGTATGTGGTAGGAAGTGGGAGTCCTGGCAGCTTTGCAGAACCATTTGGGACAGATGCTGAGTCGAGGTCATAGCTGGCACCTAAGGTCTACAGCCTAAGAGCCACTCTCACAAGTCTTCAGGTAGCACCTGAGCAAAACAGCTGCCGTTTCTCCCTTGGCACCTCAACGAGTCCTGGGAAGAGGCCACCTATGGTTCCCAAAATACCTCCTGTCTATGAGGTTGCAGAGGCCCCTCTGCAGAGAGGTATACAGATGATGTGATGGCCTACCCCAGCAACTAGGGGAGAAGGAAATGCAGCCAGCTGAGGAGAGGGTGCCTGCAGATCCAGGTGAGAAATGGGAACCAAGGTAAGGATGCAGGGCTTCCTGCGGGTCTCCCCAGTGCACCTGCACACAACGCTCCAGCTCTAGGCTTTCTCTGTTTATGTCCCTGTGTGCACCTCTGTTGGGCTCTCCCCTTCCCAGCAATTTCTCTAACACATGCTGGAATTAGCTTCGACTGCCATAATGAACACAGATTGGGTGACTTAAACAATAGAAATTTAGTTTTTCATAGTTCTGGAGGCTAATTTGGAGACCAAATACCAGCAAGGTAGATTTAGTCCTGAGGCCTCTTCTCTTGGCTTGTAGGCATCTGCCAACTCCATGTGTGCCCATGTAACCTTTTCTTTTTCAAGCCTAGAGAAGGAGCATGGTCTATGGAGCTCTCTGGTATCTCTTCTTATAAGGGGACTAATCTTGTTCTAGAGAACAACTTTCATGACCTCATCTAACCCTAATTACTTTTCAAAGACCCTACCTCCAAATACCATCACATTAAGGGGTAGGGCTCAACATATGAATTTGGTGGTGGGAGGACACAACATTCAGTCTATGACACACAACCTTATGGCCTGTCTGCAAGAGAAAAGTTGCCTGTGTCTCAGGCCAAAATCCAGATGGCTCAGATTTAGTGAGACCCCAGAAAAGTGGTTCTCTAGAGGGTCCAGTAATTATGATTATAAGAAGGGGCTCATCTAACTGCTTATTTGCATGTGACTTGAGATTATTCTCTCTCTACATACACATCTACCTCTTCCAAGCTCCCATGCTCTGTGCTGAGTGGTAGGAGGTACAGGGAAGAGGGAAGTCTGACCCTGGCCAGTGTGTGGGACTCTGAGCCAATTGGGGAACAAGATGTACCATTCAGGGAGAGTGTCTCATGCTGAGTTTTCTCTCTGGAGACCCTGTTCTCAGCTTCACAAGAGTAGTTCCCAGCATCCTGCTCCGGTGTCACCAGGAAGAGGAAGGAGGTGGCTCCACCATGGGGGACCGAGAAGTTCCCCAGGATCTTCTCTTTGAGGTAGAATGAGTACAGGATGGGAGGGGAGCCCCTCTGGGCCTCACAGAGGAGCTCCACTATGTTCCCCACAGCGAGCCTGGTGGGCCTGGGGCTCACGATGAGCAGAGGATGGGACACAGGAGCTAGGGCAGCACCCGGGGTCAGAAGTCAGCTGGAGCACCCAGGCTCTTGGCTCCTTTTCCCTTAAGGACCCCTTCCCATAATCCCAGAGGGACCCACTGCCTGATGCTCAGACCTCCCTTCCCTCCCCCACTTACCCCACACCTGATCTCCAGCTGGGGGCTCTGTTTCTGGACCCTGCCACCCTCAGGGGCCGCCTCACACCAGTAAAGCCCAGAGTCTCCCTCCCCAGCTACTGAGATGAAGAACCCTGGGTGGAGCCCCCTGTCCTGCAGGGCGTGGCCCTCCTTGTGGAAGGAGAAGAGGAACCGCGAGGCAGGCTTCTGAGGATGCAGCTTCATCTGGCATCTCAGGGTCAGCGGGCTCCCCTCACGGGGCTTGGAAGAGGGGACGACACTCAGCACAGGAGGCAGGAACAACTCTGGGAGAGGCAGGTCTAGGGTTCAGGAGGGATGTCCTGGACAGTGAGGCCCCAGGAGGCTGAGGGAGACACTGTCATTATCCCCCAGGACCTAGGCTCTCATCCTACCCACACAGTCCCAGCCACTGGATTCCCAGAAGGCCAGAGCCAGAGAGCGTTAGAGGCCATCTCATCCCCAGAGGAGAGGGTCCGGCCCAGGGCCTCAAGGAGGGGTGAGCAGCAGGGCTGATTCAGGGCTCCTCTTGCCCTGTGAGAATCAGGGATGGGGAAACCTCAGCTGATTTTCTTCTCCCTCCTTCCTTAGAGTCTCTCCCAGGCCCAAACTCCATCACTGCCCCATGCCAGTCTCCATCTCCAGCAGGGCATGAGTGATGCTGAGAAAATCGCATCTATAAGACTCTATATATATTCTTTATAATGACAAAAGACTGAAAACAACTAAATGTTAATGAAGAACTGGTTAAATAATTATGGTCTAACCATATAATAAAATATAGTGTAGCCAAGAGAAAGAAAGAGGTAGGTTCATAAGTACCTATATGGAATTAGCCCCAAGATAAAGCATTAGTGAAAGAAAATTTAAGGCAACACATGGAACCATGTGAACAGTGCACCTTCATTTGAGTGTAAAAGATGTACATGTACATATTCACGCACGTGTATATGCATACATCTAAAATTTTTTAAATATAGACTGTTTAACTCATGGGCTAGGATTGGAAATAAATAGTTTTCACAATGTGCTCCTTTGTTCTTTTAAAAAATCTAACATTTTTAGCACGTTCTCATGTATTTTTCAATAAAAAAAAGCTAGATAAAATAAAAGAGTCTACCCTATTAACAGACAAATGGATAAAGAAGTTATGGTTCATACATACAATTGAATATTATTCAGCCATTAAAAAAAATGAAATCCTACCATTTGCAATAACATGTATAGACCTAGAGGTTATTATGCTGAGTGAAATAAGTTAGACAAAGATAAATATGTGATTTCACCTGTATAAGGAATCTAAGGAACAAAAAGAATAAACTAATCAAAAACAAGCTCACAAATATAGTGGACACTTTGGTGATGGCCAGAGGGTATGGGGTTTGGGGGCTGGGAGAAAAGGGTGAAGGGTTATAGAAGTATAAATTAGTAGTTGATAGATGGAATAGGAGAGCATGGCATAGGGGATGCAATTAGCATAATGTAATAGCTAGGTGGAGAGCCAGAGGAGAGAAAGAGCCATTAGGGAAATCGTTTTATAAACTATATAAATGTCTAACCAATGTACTGTATACTTGAAACTAATAATAAAATTTAAAAAAGATTCTAACTTTCTTTATTCCCCCATACATCCTTTAATAAACTCCTCTAAATTACCTGAGTATGGAATTATTTCTGGCAACTGAAGGTCTAAGTAAGAAATAATGCCTCAGTGCGCAGTGAAATCAGAGGTAAGGAATAGACTCTGGCATTGAGAGTCCAGGAGACTAGCTCAAGCAGAGGAGGATGAGTAGGTGAGAAGATTGACAACCAAGAATGGCTTGAATTTTCTTGATGGCAGAAAATAAGAGAGACAGAAATTGTGGCTGAGCCTATGTCTTTGGAGTTACATGCCAAGGTCTCAGGTAGTATTGGAAGACATGTGAGGTTAGCAGATGCCACCTTAACTCAGAGGAAAAAAAGAAGGATTTTCAGTTGGAAGTTGGTTTTGGCATTGTTTTCTCTCTCTCCAGTTATGAAATGGTTCACTGGGTCTCTGAATGATAAGCTCCCAGTAGAGCTAGTCACAGCATCCTTCAGCTACTGCTGGCAGAGCCAGGACTTCAGTTGGTGGAAAGGCCTGGAATGAATGAGAGAAATGGCTGAGAAGGCAAAGCAGAATGCGTCCGAACACAGATGTTTTGTCAATGAGCACTGAGGAGAACAGGGAAGTTCAAGGCCATTCAAAGGAGGGAAGAGACCCAGAGACCTCTCTTATCTTCAGATCTGAAATAAACCACTGCAAAGATGGGCACAAAAACCTGAGCTTAGTAGAGCGAAGCTAGCCTTACTGACTGATTAGAGTCAAGGGCTATAGTGACCTTAGCCGTCGACAACTGTCCCCTCAGACAGATAGTTCCCAACAGCCTGAGTGGTCAAAATGGGACATGAACACAGACATACACACAGGAACAATAGGAACATGGAATGAAGGAGGCACTAAACTTTCCATCACAGGATCTGCAATCAAGCAAAGTGATGGGAATTACATTCCATATAAGGACTTCTTGACAGATACTGTAGTTAAAAGTGGGGATGGTGGATACACAAGGGTAAGCTCCCTTACTCCCTCTTCCTACACAAATTTAGAAAGTGCCAGCCCACCCCCACTTCCCCAGATCCACCTGGAAATTTTCTGTGCAGCATCTGGCCATCCTGGTTTTAGAGTCTCCCAAGGCATACCTCTCTCAATTCCCTATCCTCTCTGCTTCAAGAAGAACAAGGAAAGGAGGCCAGATGGGACTTAAACAACAACCACCTTGTCCTCTAAGAAGAAGCAGGCAGGAGGAGACCAGGGGTGGGAGTGGGGGATTTTGTAAAGGAAACTTGACTTTGGTGTCAATTATTAAGGGAAAAGTGGATCTTCATACAGGATACCAGGTTCGAAGAGGAGGATCTCAGTAGGTCGGAAGGACTCCTAATCTTTCAAGAGCCTGGCTCTAACATGAAGGAGGTAAATGGACAATTATAGTCATCTGTTGACAGATACTAGGCTAGCATTCAGAGAGGCCAGTAACTAAGAAGAGAGGCAGCTAAAGATGCCTCAACTGTATCTTATAAGACAGATTCCTAGTATACCCTTTTTTAAAGTTTCCCTTTTGCTTTCTCTAGTCTTTAGTATAAAGTCTTGTCTAAAGATTTCAACCTATTTCAACTGCATGTTGAAGGAGATAAGGAGGCCCCCAAAGCTCAGCATGATGGACTTCAGCAGCGGCAATCAAGGAGAGCCCCCAAAGAAGGTGAACCTCAAGAGCAGAGAGAACTTCAGGTTTATGTGATCCAATTGGCCTCTGCATCAGGAGATCCTTGTTCCGTGACCAATCTGATGACTCTGAATTTTGTTACTATTAAAGAAGAAAATATTTTCTTCCAAAAATATAATTGAGCAGTAGCTGGCTCTCTCTTCTTACAGGAAGGGGCTTCTCCATTCCAAACCATCTTTTTCCCTGAGCCAACCCCAGAAAATACTTCATTTATGTGAAAATACAGATTGCTTTTGGTTTTGAGTGATAGGGGTTTAGTTTATGCTTATTTATCATCAAGAGCTACATGAACTCTGTACGTGATTAAATGTGTCTCATCAATGTTGTTGGTATTATTTCCTTTTAACTTCCATTTGGTCATGTTCAGTTTCTCGAGTCTGAGGCTCACTTAGCATGGCCATTAGTAGAATATCTTGCAAACCTGGTGTGGGTAGGGGGAAGTTGTAATATTGGTACAAACCAGAAGTAGAAGGCTACATAGGCAGTATACTTTGAGAAGCCCCTCCTGATCACGTCTCTCTAGGACCCATCCCCAGCTCCTTACATGAAATTCTACTGATTTCTTTTTAGTTGTTATTACCTTCAAGTTCTTCTTTTAATATGCAAATACTGCTAGGAAGAGAAGAGGAACCCATAGCATATTTCTGTTTAGAAACTGTTCTAAGATATTTGTAAATGTTCAGAAAAAAATGTAAATCTCTTTGGGTAAAGCAGCCTTAGATGAAGCTATGAGCTCATTTTGGTAAATGCAAGCTTAAGCATGCAATCTAAGCTTCAAAGGGCAGGAGTTAAGAATCAAAGTGTGGCAGCCAAAAAGTATTTTTAAGACTGCAAGGGACTCTCCTAGGACTCTACCACGAATGACCTAGAGAAAATAATATAAGGCAATATTTTTCCACTTTAATTCAACTCAACAAAGCTCTATGCTACTATATGTAAGGCACTGTGCTAGGTGAAACCGGAGACACAAAATTGCATCCAGCAGTTGTTATTCCCAGGCAGTCTAGTTACGCAGTAAAAATATTTATGGAGATGCAAAGCAAAAAATCAGAGTACCAGGACAGTTCAAAGAAGGGAGATAGCCCACTCAGTTGGAGGGCTCATCTGGCATTGAGAAGGGATTTGTAGACAGTTATAAGTGAAATAAATTGCATATGAGAGAAGTGGCATAAAGAAAGTTACAGAGTTAGGAAATCACAGGATATTTTAGGAAACATCAGATAGTCGAGTCTGGATGAAACATAAAGTAAGAGTGGAAGGTCAGTGGAAAATAGTGTGAGAGAGAAGATTGGGACCCTCTGAGCAAGGCCAAGGCAAAGGAAATTTAGGGATAATCAGCAGCATATGTCTTCTGTTGTTTCCCATTTCTTCTGTTGCTGAGAGCTCATCCACAACCGCCCACTAGAGCAGTTTTTCCTAGACACACTTCTAGATGGGCTTCCGGAGCACAGACATCTTCCTACAATGAGCTGAGTACTTGGTTTTACTCTTAGAAAGACTTGCCTTCCCAGTTGGCTCAGTGTTCTTCTTCCTTTGGCCACTCTTCCCAGCCTCTCCCCTTTTACCATATTCCTAACCCCCTCCAGCAGCTATGGTATCTCTTACCCTCCTGTCTTTTACCCCATGGCCACTTTTGTTCCCTCTCGAAGGTGATGAGCAGTAGGAAGGTAGCCAACAGCATTGCCCAAGTGTCTGCCTGCTTCCTCCTTGATGGACAGTAGAGACTCCTGAGGATTATGTTCTAACCCTCAGATTAGCCTTATTTGAGAGCTCAGCCCTATTTAATACGTCCATTTGTCACTCTCCAACTCTTCTCCTGTCTTCCTCCATCACTCTGTATCTGTGTCTCTTGAACCCATCTGATTTTCCTTTTCCTTGTCAGATGGCAGAAGCAAGAATCACAGGAAGGAGCACCAACACATACGCCAAAGGACTAGGGCCTCTTGGTGTATAACAGGGTTAGCAGAGGCAGGATAATGCTTATCCTCAGTTATGAGCTGAGTTGTGCCCTCTCCTCCAATTCATACATTGAACTCTGAATCCCAGTACCTCAGAATGTGACTGTATTTGGAGACAGGACAAGTAAAGTGGTAATTAAGTTAAAATGAGGCTGTTGGGTGGGCCCTAATCCAGTATGACTGGTGTCCTTATAAGTAGAGGAGATTAGGACAGTATGGGGTGTTTGTGCACAGAAAACCCTGTGAAGAAGAAGCAAGAAGGTAGCCTTCTACAAGTCAAAGAGGGAAGGCTCAGTGGAAACCAGCTCTGCCACCACCTTGATCTTAGACTCCTAGCCTCCAGAACTATAAGAAAATAGATGTCTGTTGTTTAAGCCACCCAGTCTGTGGTATTTTGTTATGGCAGCTATGGCAGACTAATACATCCTCTCTCAAGGCCATGCTGGAAAACATGGGCTTGGAGAGACATTTTGGATATTATAAATGCCTACCAGGTGGCTCCTTCAGAAGAAATAAGTTTTGCCTTGATACTCCAGCAAAATTTGCCATTCCTTCAGTTTTATGACCCTGCTACCTTGGACACAACTGACTGGACCAAGGATTGAGGACTGCTAGACCAAAAGATTTACAGGAGAGCCTCCCAGTTAGATTCTCTCCTAGGAAGTTTTGAATATAAAACAGACAGTAAAAGAGCAGTGAATTCAGAAGGACAGAAACAGAAGTAGAAGAAGTAAAGACAGAAGAGAAAGTGAAGCTGAAGAACTAAAGCAGCTACACCTGGTGTAGACACCCACTTCAAGGGGACCACCACTGCCTGGGCAGCCAGGGTCACTGTCAAGTAACTCCTCTTCTGTGAGGCCTGGCTGCCAGATAGTTGGAACAGTTCCCTTACTTGTTCTTGTATCCTTAAAATAAATCCTCATCACTCAAGTCTTCTAAGCCTGAGACTATCTCTTTTTCTTGCAATCTGAAAGAACCTACCTACTACAATAGTGTGTTCATTTTCTAAGGCTGCTGTAACCAAGTACCACAGATTGGGGGCTTAAACAACAGGTTCTCTTTTTCTCACAGTTCTAGAGACTAGAAGTACATGATGAAGATGTCAGCTGATCTGGTTCTTCTGAGGGCCATGAGGAAAGGATCTATTCCAGGTCTCTCTCTGGCTTGTAGATGGCCATCTTCTTCCTGTGTCTTCCCTCTGTACGTGTCTGTGTCCAAATTTCCTTGTCTTATAAGAACACCAGTCATATTGGATTAAGACCCACTCTAATGACCCCATTTTAATGTAATTACCTCTTTAAAGATCCCATATTCAATATAGTCACATTCTGAGGTGCTAGGGGTTAAGATTTCAATATATAAATTTGGGGTGAGTGGGCACAATTCAGCCTATAATATATATGTTCATATCCAGACAAAACCAAGACATTTCCCAGCAGGCTTCCTCCCAGCCAGGTAGGTTTTCTCACTTGACATTCCCCCAGATTAGCTGCCATTCTGGGGTGATGGCCCTGCTCACCAACAACCTGGCCTGTGACCTGATGTTACAGCTCTTCGGGGAAAGAACACTGATGTCTCCACCAACCTCCAACTCACTAGCATGAATTAAAGTATGATAGATCTGCATATTGATATAAAAATATCTCAAGGACATTTATTAAGTGAAAAACCAAGCTAGAAAACAATCTGTCCAGCATAAACATATTTATGCTTAATAACAAATCTATATATTTTATACATGTACATAAAATAATATAACTGCACAGAAAATAAACCAGATGATCAGAAAACAGAAAAGAAGAGCATGACATCTCAGTTAGTATGTAATAGGAAGAGAAAGGTGAGGAGCGACAGTAAGTTTGAAAGAAATTTTTAAAAAATATTTTTCAGTTATAGTTGGTATACAATACTATATTAGTTTCAGGTGTACAACATAGTGATCAGACATCTATATAACTCACAAAGTGATCACCCCAATAAATCTAGTGCCCCTCTAACAACATACATAGTTATTACAATATTATTGGCTATATTTTTATGCTATACTTTCTATCTCAATGACTATTTGTAACCACAAATTTGTACTTCTTAATCCCTTCTCCCTTATTCGCCCACTCCCTCAACCCACCTCCCATCTGGTAACCCACAAAATGTTCTTTGTATCTACAAGTTTGTTTCTGTTTATTTATTTTGTTCTTTAGATTCCGCATATACACACGATCATATGGCATTTGTCTTCCTCTATCTGACTCATTCCACTCAGCACACTACCCTCTTGGTCCATCATGCAATATCTTTTCCCATCCCTTACTTTTTGTCTGTGAGTGTCTTTTAATCTGAAGTGAGTCTCTTGTAGGCAGCCTATGTAAGGGTCTTGTTTTCTTACCCATTCAGCCACCCTCTCTATCAATTGGAGCACTTAATTCTTTTTTCATTTGAAGTACTCGTTAATAGATATGTAGTATTGCCATTCTTTATTCATATTTTTGCTACATATTTTTTCTTCTTAAAGAAGTCGCTCCAACATTTCCTGTAATACTGGCTTGGTGATGATGAACTCCTGTAGCTTTTTCTTGTCTGGGAAGCTCATTATCTGTCTTTTGACTCTAAGTGATAGCTTTGCTGGATAAAGTAATCTTGGTCGTAGATTCTGGATTTTCATCACTTTGAATATTTTGTGCCAAAATCCTTCTGTTCTGTAAAGTTTCTTTTGGGAAATCAGCTGCCAGTCTTATGGGAGCTCTCTTGTATGTAACTAATGGCTTTTCTCTTGCTGCTTTTAAGATTCTCTCTTTGTATTTAACCCTTGGCATTTTAATTATAATGTCTCATGGTGTGAGCCTCCTTGGGTTCCTTTTTTTTTTTTTTTTTTGGTGGGGGGAACTCTCTGAGCTTCCTGGGGTTATATGTCTATTTCCCTCACCAAGTTAGGGAAGTTTTCCATCATTATTTCTTCAAGTAGGTTCTCAACTTTTTGCTCTTCTTCTCCTTCTGGTACCCCTATAATACGAATGTTGTTACATTTGATAATATCCCATAGACTCCTTATATTATCTTCATTATTTTGGATTCTTTTTTCTTGTTGCCATTCTGATCAGGTGTCCTTCACTACTCCATCCTCTATATCAGTGATTCAGTCCTCTGCTTCCTCAACTCTGTTGATTCCTCCTAATATTCTCTTCATCTCAGATATTTTATTCTTCATTTCCGACTTGTTCCCTTTTATAATTTCTCTTCGTTTTTGTTTTTTATCTCTTAGTTAAAGTTCTCACTGAGTTCATCTACTCTTCTCATAAGTTCCTTGAGCATTCTTATAACCAGTATTTTGAACTCTGCAACTGGTATATTGCTTGTCTCCATTTTGGTGAATTCTTTTTCTGGAGCACATTGGTGAACAGGGGAGGAATGGGAGGTGCTTAATAATTGATAGGACAGGACCCTTGAGTAGGTGGAAAGAATAAAATTAAAAGCAGAAGCTGATCAAGAGTATGAAAAGAGTATGGAAAAGAAAACCAGAAAACCAGAAACTGGACAGAAACTGAGCATGTAGAAAAGTCCTGAGGAATAGAAAGAAAAATGGAAAAACTCTAGTAAAATGGCCCCAGCACAATCGGAGGCAAGATAATTATCCCATAGACTCCTTATATTATCGTGGGCTGAACTGTGTCTCCCAAATCTATATGTTGAAGTCCTAACCCTGGTACCTCAGAATGTGACTGTATTTGGTGATGGGATCTTTAAAGAGGTAATTAAGTTAAAATGAAGTCATCAAGTGGGTCCTAATCCAATGTGACTGGTGTCCGTATAAGAAGAGATTAGGATACAGACACAGAGAGGGGAAGATCCTGTGAGGACAAAGCAGGAAGGTGGTCATCTAAAAACAAAGAGAGGCCTCAGAAGAAATTAATCCTTGATCTTGGACTTCCAGCCTCCGGAATCATGAGAAAATAAGTGTCTATTGTTTAAGTCCTCAGTCTCTGGTATTGGTTATGGCAGCTCGATCTAACTAAGACTGTGGTGTGCTCAAGAATGAAGGAAGACTTCCAGCCCCACCCGAAAAGGGGAGGAGGCCGCAACCACACCCATAGGGAGAACAGCTTCAGCCCTTCCAGGAGGCTGGCTGAAAGCAGCCTGCCCAGACTAGGGGTCCTAATAAGATAACTCCTCTTTCGTGTCTCTTTTCCATTCTCCAGTTCTTACTGGGCTGCTATAGTTATCTCCGTGCTGGCTGGGAGACTATGTAAGGAGCCTAATTGGCTGACAGGCTTTAGCCGCTGCACCTCTAGATGTGTAGTGTTCACACTGAGGCCACATCCCTAGATGGCTCCCAGCCAGTGACTGAGCACAGGGCGTACTAGAGACAGGCCATTTGTGCCTGACATGGAACATTGCTAATGGGCATCAGCCTGACTGAGATTTCTCGGAGCTGTTTTGTGGTCAGAGGCTCCTCCTACCCATCCCTTTCTCACTCCCGCTCTTCTTTCTCAGGTGTCACACCTATATTACGTAAGGTCTGAAGGCTCTCCCAGCCTACTCCTGCTCCTCTTCCTTATCCATCACAAATACAATGTTTCCTCATTGACTCTTACATGTCAGCTTTGTCTTGGTCTCTGCTTCTCTTATCTGATCTCACTGTCCCTAGCCTCCCTGCCCTTGATCCATCCTCCACCATGCTGGAATCTTTCTCAAATTCAAATCTTGTCACACTTTTGCTTTTATCCTT